TCAAGAGTTATCTTTACAAGTTAACGAGCTGGATGAAAAACCATTCATCAACAGTTTAGACCACGCTTAAGGAGCAATTATATCAATAGGCTTAGTAATAGACAATACAGTATATATTATCCTAATTCGAGGTTCGGCGACAAGGCATCCAAACCCATTAAATCTTGCAATTGGTCTAAAAAGGCCAAGTTTCAATCGCAGGAGCAGGGAACCACAACATAGCCAACCGTACCACCATTTAGGCATATCGGTTGATTGTCCATGATGTGGGGCTACCTACTACCGGCTATTCCAAGAGGGACCGACCTCAAGCTGTAATTTATTTCAAAAATTCAACTTTTACAATTTAAAAATTTTATATAAACAGCACTCGTAGACGACAGAGTGTCAAGCGGTGGAGTTGCATGGTCTTTTTATTAGTGACAGAGAGATGGCCACTCAGTTTTTAATTGATACTGGGCAGAAGTTTCTGCGATTCCACTATTACCACAAGAAAAAATCTATTGCCAATCTGGAACTCCTCGCTACAAAGGGAATTAATAGGAAAACTTATGGAAAAAATTACTAAAATCAGGTTTCGGACTGAGAAGAGCATTTGATTGGCCTTTTATGATTGATGTTAATAAAACAGTAGTAGGTATTTATTGTTTATCTCATTTACACCTTTTGGTTGGCAGCAAAAGTTGCAAATTGATGTCATCACTTCATTTTCTATTGATATGCCCTGCTATCTATCCTGTTGATACACCAACATTAAAAGCAGTATCAAATCAGTATGAAACTCTTCTTAAACATATTTCTAAATTTATTATGACAACACTTGTTGAGAACAACTTTAAGAATCACAACATTGACCAAAGATCTCCTTTTAACGCTACGGCTGGAAAACTCTCATTCGAAAAATTAAAAGCGGCAAATGCGAAATTAGATTCCATGTTACAACAATGTGTCTGCAGACGTTCAGAAAGCTGTTGGGCCAGTCCTCTGTATCTCACCTTAAAGAAATCAGAAGACTGGAGGCCATACTAAGATTACATAGTCCCTAACAATATTACCATCGCAGATCGCTATCGTCTAATATTCCTTGCTGGCTGGGGTTCTATTCTTCACTCAAAGAACTTTTTCATCCATTGACTTAGAGCTTATCAACAAATTCCAGTACATGGAGCGGACATCCCAAAAGGGGCCATTATAACTCCATTCAGCCTGTTTGAATTCCTCTTCATAGTGTTTGGTTTACGCAACGCGTCAGAGATATTTTAATGATTCATACGGTGCTGTCAGGATTACATTTTGCATTCTGCTAATTAGACGATATACCGATTGCTTCTCCTGATGAAAAGTATATATAAGTACTCGTGAGCACTTACATATAGTTTTTAAAAGATTAAATGACCACAGTTTCTGTATCAGTATTGCAAAAGTCCATGTTTTGGTACTTCTAAAATTAAACGTTCGGATTACGAATTTTCAACTGAAGGTATTAGACCTCTTCCGACAAAGTTGATACCCTACAAAATATATCTGAACTCACGGTCAGTCGCTCACTTGCGCAAGTTCTTAGGAATAACTTTTATCCTCGTTTCATTCCGAATTGCGCCCAAACTTCAACCGCCTCTAACCTAACTACTTAGCAAAAACAGCGAAATACCTGTAATATGGAACCGAAGATTCTTGTAAAGCATTCAAAAACCTCAAAAACGATCTTTGTTATGCTACTATGCTTGTCCATCCCTCAAACAATGCTACTGTATCTCATATGTGATGCTTCCGATACCACTGTAGAGGTTGTCATACATCAAACTGACCGCGAAGAGATGCCCCCATTAAATTTCTTCTTGCATTCCTTAATCGATACACAGAGAAGATACAGTGCTTATCAAAAGGATTGTTGGATTATTGTAATTTGGCACAAAACCTGTCAAGGTTATCTGCGCCAGACAAATGGTAACAATGCAATTAGTTATTTGTAAAAACTTCTAGCTTAGGTAAAAAAGAGACAAATTACAGTCTATGATAGAAGCTGATATCTTTTAAAAAACAGGTTAAAGTCTATTATAAAAGCCAATATCTTTTAAAAACAGAAACAAATTACGATGATGTGTTTTTCCAATTAAATTTCCTAAGTCCAGTTCTGAACAATTAAAATGTTTTTGGCGAAAATAATTAAAACTCTGGCATTTCACCAAGATGTGATGGACTGTCAGATCTGCATTGCAGTTTGGGCAGCTGGGATTCTCTTCTCCCTTCAGAAGATACTCATGGGTTAGGCGACAATGGCCAATTCTCAGTCGAGTCAAGAGGACATCCTCCCTTCTATTAGCCATACATGGCCAGTATCCAATGGTGGGTTTATCATTTCTCAGCTTGTTATATACTTTGTCATCCCATTGCTTCTGCCATTTGCTGAGAATTTTGCTTTTGACAAACCCTTTGATGTCTGCTAGTGGAATCTGAAGATTGTACATTGTGGTTGCAGTTTTAGCTGCAATATCCGGCAATTCATTCCCCTTAATGGCAACGTGTCCAGGGATCCACGAATAAAGAATCTGGTATCCCCGAATTTTTAAAGAATGATTCAACTTCAGGATTCTGGCTGCAGCTGGGTGAGTACACTGAGCGTAATTTTCCAACGACATTAAGGCACTCGTGGAATCTGTGTAGATAATAAACTTTATGTACTTTTGTTTTGAAAGGTAAGTCAAAGCCAGATGAATTGAAGTAAGCTCAGAAGTAAGCACAGAGCAAACTGTATGTAATCGAACCCCCACTATTGTTTTCTCTGTGACGAAAGCTGCACCAACATGATCCTGGGATTTTGATCCGTCTGTATATAGAGAGATATATTTCCTATATTTGTTTCTATCTTAAAAAAAAATCTGCTTGTAGATGATTTCGTTAGTTTGTGATTTATTCCAGTGTCGAAAAGTATCCAGAGAATGGATTCTCCAATCCTCGCTTATCAAAAGGAACGCTTGTGCATCTATACTGGCATACAACATTTTAGGTGCATATCAGAGGGAAGGTCTTTCATTACTTGCCCGGACCATAAACTTATCCCTTTTGCTTTTGAACATAATTTAGATAAAGACCTTCCTTAGACAAGCAAGGCAATTAAGTTATATTCTAAAACAATTTCTATGCGATGATTTGATAAATGCTGAAGTGGTCGCCAACAGGTGGCCTTTTCAGTCCTGTTGCCATTTCACATTATTTAACTGAGTTAAATAATGTGAAATGGCAGTATCTTAAAAGCGTACATGAAAACGACGAACGGAAAGTTCAATCTCAAACTGATAATTATAAAATGCTCTCCTAATGAGAATTTAAGAACTGAAGATTACTGTTATTGGGAAAATTTAAAGCTTCTAAATCATAATGTAGTTGAATGGTACTTTGCCATTAGTGACACCACCGAAGAAAGATGTCAATGTCTTGTGCAAATGGTAGATATAGAAAGCTTTTTTTTAAATCAATTTTGGCAAATATTTCGCTGAAAAATTAGGGCTTCTTGGATAAATGCTTTAAAAAATATCAGAGGAATATTTCAGATACTTAACAATTTTTAACAAGAGAACGAGTTTCAACTTTCAAATGAAATTGAAAGCTAAAAATATTTCAAGGGTTTCTCAAATATTTTCCAAATAGAATGTAGAGAATGGATTTCAGATGCTTTGAATTTTAAAAAATGCTAAAAATCATCACTTTATGAAAAATAACGTCTTACTTAGTTTAGGAGTGATTCCTCCTTTAAAGCCCCCTTAAAAAATAGCTCATTATTTGTTTTTCGATTTCAACAAGCGACTAATATGAAAAAATATATGCCAATACATTAAAAATTTTCTTGCCATTTAAAAACGCTGAACTTGAAGATGGATATTTTCATCTCGCGCTTATATTAAAAACAATTACCGGAACAAACTGCGATCTGCTCTATATGTCTTTTTTTTATGTTTTTTTATTAGCTTCAAAAAGTGGAGCTCAACGATTCTGAAGGATTTCTTTAATAATGAGGCTTCCGTAACTCAAGATTTTGTTAACTTTTAGATATACACTAGGATTTCGTATTATACAGTTTGATTTAGTGTAAGTGCTATTAACATTTTCTTAGACATGGAGTTAAATTTTCAATGTATTAATTAAACTTATAATAGCTTAATATTTTACCATGGTACAATATTTTAACAATGCTTATGGTTTTTAATATAAGCTTTGACCTCCTCAATAGTCAACAAATTCTTGCAAAAGCTGATATTTGAAATAATTTCAACGCACACACAATTGCAAAGTACGTATATTACGGAAATATTTGTTATATGAAAAGTAGCAGGTTTTTAATGAGGAAGGTTAGATATACTCTATATATAGTCTTAAGAGGTATGCAAAAGTTATAAGTTTTTAGAACGTATGATTAAAACCAACATCAAATTAGAAACTGATTTCAATTTTATCTGCAAATATTTATACGGTTTTCTTGTAACAGATTCCTTTCCCGTGCTGGTGTTAATATTAAAAAAGTGATCTGTAACTTTTATAATTTCTTACATGTAACAAAAATAACTTGTGTGTAACAAGTCGAAAAGGTCAAACACTGATCAGAAGAGGTAAAATTTGGTTGTTTTTTCTAAGTTTTGCTTAATAAAAATAATATATAACAAAAGATATACACTTGATAAAATATTTTAATATAATTAAACAATTAAATCAGATTGAAATATTTTTCAGTGCATAACAACATTAGAAAAATTAATATAGTTAATTATTTGCCAAAACTGAATTTTAGTTTATGACTTTCCTATCATTAGAAATGCTGCAAGAATAATTCTGTCTGGTTAAGAAACTGAGTTCTTTAAAAATCAGTGAAAATGGTATGTATTTGACCACGTAGAACACTTGGATATATACTTTTAAAAAATTTCAGTAACATATTTCAAAGGAAAATGTAAATCTGACGATATTCAAAAGAGTTATGTCCTTTATTCAACATTTTTGACTAACAGTTTTAAATTTGGAATGCATTTTATTTTTGCTTCAAATTAATTGAAACTGCCAACTTTGCTCATAGGTATAAAATGCCCTCTGTCCGTCGCCAAATGCCAGAAGGACCAGCTTTTAATAAATTTATGAAACTAAGACAAACAGTCCATAACTTATCAAGAATGTGTTCTTCATTTTCAGAAATATGACAATGAGCCCAAATCATTCCCGATGTTTCGGTTTCTGAATTAGCAGACACTGCGAATTGGTAATCGATGCTTTTTTCAGATAGGCGCAGATGATAAGATATTCCATCCCACGGCAAATTCAGCCACTGTAGAGAATCTTCGCATTTCACAGGACGTGGCTGTGCGCTTTTACACCAAAACAAAGTATAATATTTTACTTGATCTCGACCAGGGAAGAAAAACATCTCATAGTCATGTGTACGGGAAAGGAAGATGATTCGCTCTAGTCCATCAAGCAATGCTAAAAATAGAACAGTAGACACATGATAAATTCTTAAGTGAAATTTATTATATTTAAAAAAAAATGTTAGAATATTCACATTTTTGCGTTGTAAAGGAGAATTTCTACTGATGACTTTTCCCGACCATTTAGGCTTTTTTTATCCTGTACAGTACAACTAAGAAAAAATCAGGAAAACATATGAGGGCTATCGAGAAATTTCAATTACGAAACCCTCGTGCACTTTTCCTATTCGACCAGATAGGGGAATGTGACTATTCGCCGTGGTTCACTATATATTATATACGACTTCATATGTCCACTATATATGACTATATATCACTATTCGTTCACTATATATTTTTCTTTACACTACTGTATTATATCTTGCAGTATTATATGTATATTAAGTTTATTTAGTTTAATAATTTAATTTAATAAACATCTTATATAAAATAATGTATAAGATGTTTTGTGTAAACTTTTATACAAATACATCGTTACTATGACATATTAATTTTAAGAAAGTAATGTGCAGACAAGATTCCAAAGTAATTCTGGTTCCCTTTCAGATCTCATAAAAATGTGAATTTTCTGCTTGTATGAGTGATTTCTCTAAACTAGCCGATTAAAATTTCAAGAAATTTTGACGAATCATGTAAATATTGCACCCGCATATATTTAAAATCAATAATATAACTTCTGTTATATCAGAGGTTTAGCCCCAGTTCTCTTTGATACTGATATAATTTTCCAACTAACTATACCTAATTTCTTTATATCTCATACTTGTAAATAACTATATATATTACAAGCAACGTTTATTAAGTACACAAAAGGTACACAGAATTCTTAACCTAAATAAATTCAATACGAGCGTAATGCGGCAAGATATAATACAGTCATGTAATGAAAATATGTCTTGACGACGAAAGGTCTCAACGGCGGAAAGTCCTAGACCCCAGATGACACACTTGGTGGATTATGACAAAACGTGCTAAAGTTATTTGCCGAAGTAAGGGATATCATCGGGGAAGGCATTCTAAGGGAATGTGGCTTATATTCACGTTTAAAAAGGGAGGAAGTTCACCGACAACATTATGCAACCAGCCTGTTCATCAAGAATCGAAGCACTCCAATATTCAATATACCAATATTCAGCACTCCTGCACCTCTAGCCACCAATGGACATAACGAACAGATTCAGACCTATTTTGCCCCCCCCCCAAATTCCTGCTATGCTGCCTCAACGTGGCGGGGGGGTGTCACTAAGCGGAACGGGCGAAGTACGTCGGGAGCATAGCTCCTGGCAAGGCCACCCTAGGCATGAAGGCCGTTCCAACATGCCCAGCTAATGCATAGCAGGTGAAGAACCCTCAGGGCATTGCAGTCTTGGTGATCGGGTGTCACACTCCCGGGCCCCAGTGACCTTTCCTTCTCTTTCTTTCCTCTCCTCTTGTCTAGCTCTCTCTCTATTTCTCTCCCTTGTGGTTTCCTCTACTGGAGGTTGGGGCTCACTGTGAGATGCAGCTACTACTCTGGTTTCTGTTTCACCATGGTGAGAATACCGCCTATGCGTTTGCCGTGCATGGTGACCCGTAGGGTGGGAAAGGAGGATCCTGGCAGTTGAGGGGCGAGGTACTGTCCCCAACACACTGCTTTGGCCTCTGCTTCTACTTAAAACGGGAGGCACTTAGCTGTCCCCGCTAGTGTCAATCGGCTGGTCACTAGTCCTATTGGTCAGTGGCTAGGGGATTAAGCTCTCGGAAGTCTCCGCTTTCGGGAAAGCCGACTGTGGGGCTTCAGTTTGCGTATAGGCCCGGCTAGCCCTAACACAGGGATCTGTGTTCCCTTGTTGGGCTCCATGGTGGGTGGGGCGGTCGGGCCCGAAACTTTCTCTCTCTTTTCAATATGAAAACTTTAACTTCCTCTCCTAACCATATGGATACGAAAAATTCTGGAGCTGCTAAAAGAATTTGCACTTCGACCTTAGTTAGCACAAGCAAATGTCCAAAGTTCTTAGTTATTACTGGTGAGCTAGAAAATTTATCACCATTCTTCATCCAAGCATATTGTGGCCTCAGCAGGCGAGCCAAAACACATAAAAAAGCTCCGTTCAGTTCAGGATCTCTGCTCATCGAGACTACATCTGATGCACAATCTTCCTCTCTCCTAAAAATGACCAAAAAATGGGGGAACATTCTATTACTGTATCCCCACATAAGTCTTTGAACACGTCAAGAGGTGTCATTTCGGAAATAGACTTGATATCAGTCTCTGAGGATGAACTTTCAAAAGAACTCGCCGAGCAAAATGTATGTGGGGTCCGCCGAATAAAAGTCCGTAGAGAGGCGGGCAACTCGTCAACACAAAACATCTTATTCTGACTTTATCATCTCCAGAGCTACCGAAAGCCATTAAGGCAGGTTACCTGAATTGCCCCATCAGACCTTACGTGCCGAACCCACTGCGCTGCTTCAAGTGTCAACGGTTTGGCCATGCGAAGGCCGCATGCCGGGGAAACCTGGCATGTGCTCGCTGTTCTGCAGGTGGTCACGAAAGTCAGGAATTGTGTAGCTGATCCAAAATGTGCAAACTGTCATGCCGATCATCCAGCATACTCACGAAACTGCCCTAAGTGGAAAGAAGAGAAAGAAATACAGCATATTAAGACTACAAGAAAAATCTCCTATCCTGAAGCTAAGAAACTTTTTAGCACGGGTCAGTCAAAAGCAAATGTCTCCTATGCACAAGCCACTAAATCATATCGGTCAATAAGTACACAAACATCGCATAGCACACAGAAGAAGATACCTGAACCAAAAACAAATGACAAAGAAAAAGTTTTTCTTCTACCTCCTCCCAAACAGACAATAGAAAGTCGAGAAATAAAAACACAAGAAACAGAGAGTTCAAAAAAGAAAATCAAAAGCTCAGAAAAGAGAAGCTCAAGCCGAAGCTCTATTGAAGGGACCTTTTCAGACTTTATCGAATCTGAGATGGAAACAGATGGAGGCAGAGAGATCTCTCGAAAAATGTTCTACCTCACAAAACAAAGAAACAGCATCGAAGCAATAAACATTCCTAATGGCTACTCTCATTTCGTGGAACTGCCGGGGCTTCTATCAGGGTATTGATGGCATTAAGCAACTTATTAATAAATATCGACCTATTTGTATAGCGATACAAGAGACATTCCTCAAACCTGGTAATTTTGCAAAGCTACGTAGATACTCGATGATAAGAAAGGATAAGACATTCAGTGAACGCGCAAGTGGTGGTGTCTGTCTACTTACCTCAATTAATTGCCCTTCGAGTGCTCTCCCTTTGGATACTCCTCTCCAAGCAGTTGCAGTACAGTTGAGCATTCGAACACTGACTACTGTTTGCAGTATTTACATCCCGCCTAATGAGAACATTAATTTAAGAGATTTAGAGGATCTAATTGCCCAACTACCAGCTCCGTTTATTCTAGTCGGTGATTTCAATGGACACAATCCCTTGTGGGGTAGTCCCTTGTGGGGTAGTAAAGACACAACCCCACGAGGGAAGCAAATTGAACAGCTACTCCACGACCACTGTCTCTGTATCCTTAACAACGCAGAAAGCACTTATTTTCATCAGCCAACAAGGACCTTCCATTCCATTGACCTTGCTATTGTTTCTCCACAGCTTTTGCCATTTTGTGTTTCTTTAATGTCGAGAATTATCTATATAATAGCGATCATTTTCCTATTATCATAAGCATTACAGGAAATAGGAGTGTTTTTATACCTAGAACACCACGCCTTTTGTTGGACAAAGCCGACTGGGACTCTTTCATACATTATGCTCTTTTTACTGAAGAAATAGTAAAGAATGTGCACATTGATCAGGCTGTGAAGATCATTACAGATAAAATTATTCAAGCAGCTGATATATGTATACCAAAAACGTCGGTAAAACAGCCAAAATACCCAAAGCCCTGGTGGAATCCTGAATGCCAGGACGCCATCAGAAAACAAAGGAAAGCTTGGAGCATTTTTCGGCGATATCCTTCAGAATCAAATCTCGTAATATTCAAAAGGGCTAAAGCAAAAGCTCGGCAGGTGCGAAGGAAAAGTCAGAAGAATTCTTGGATCTCGTATGTGTCTTCGATTAGCTCTTCAACTTCGAGTAAGAAGGTGTGGGAGAGAGTCCGGAAAGCGTCCGGTATCTACAAAGAGCACACACTTTCCATTTTAAAGACAAGTGGTGAAACAGTTACTAGTAGGGAAGAAATTGCCAACGCTATTGGACAGAGTTTCTCAGCCGTCTCACACAGTAGTAACTACCCTCTTGAATTTCTTTCCGCAAAAAAAAAAAATGCATTGAAAAACAACTAATTAATTTCAACTCTCCCAATACTGAACCATATAATCAGGATTTTACTGTGCTTGAACTGAAAAGAGCTCTGTTGCAGACAAAAAATTCATGTCCTGGTCCAGATGATATTGCCTATCCTATGCTGAAACATCTTCCTTCCAAGTCATTGGCAGCCATCCTCTTTCTCTTTAATAGAGTATGGAAGGAACAAGTCTTTCCAAATGCCTGGAAAACAGCTTTTGTCATCCCCATTGTTAAACCGGGAAAAGAGCCTACTAATCCGTCAAATTACCGTCCCATCGCTCTAACTAGCTGCCTCTGCAAACTCTTTGAAAAGATGGTCAACACTCGTCTGGTCTATTATTTAGAGACAAATAATTGTATCTCCCCTTATCAGAACGGTTTTAGAAAAGGAAGAGCAACTATCGATAATATCCTACTCTTAGAAACAGGTATCCGTAGAGCGTTCGTTAGAAGAAATCATTATGTTTCCATTTTCTTTGATATAGAGAAAGCCTATGATACCACCTGGAGATACGGTATCCTTCGTGACCTATATAACAATGGTTTACGAGGAAACATGCCGATATTCATCAAACATTTCCTACAGGATCGGAAGTTTCATGTGAAGATAGGCGATACACTTTCTGACATGTTCCATCAAGAAGAGGGCGTTC